CCCCAAGAGAAGTCAGAAAGGGATTAGAGGTTTTAGTTAGACGCCAAGTTCTCTCTGCTCTCTGGGGATCTGCTCATGCAATTCCCTGTCCCTGGGCCACCCCCCACCTCTGAGCCCATCTTCTCCCCAGCCTGGGTGGACCTCTAGACATCACTATCTTGGGGAGGTCTCCCTGGCCACACGGGCTCCCCACAAGCGGGCTCCCACAAACCTAGGTCAGCTAGCTGCCTCTCCTGTGTGTTCCCTCGATGCCTCCGCCATCACCAGCACCTGTCATCCTGCCTCATGGTCGCCTGCATAGGGACGTGCCCTCCCCCGCGGCCCCCACGCTCAGCGAGCACCAGGGATGCATCTGGCTTGTTCACAACTGTCCCCCACATGTTAGTCCAAAGATGGTGCTCACGGAATGCAGGAGTCACAGAGAAGGGGGAGAGTGAGGCGGAAGGACAGGGGTGAGGAAGGCACGGAGGGAAAGGGGGGCTAGGCCGCCCACCCCTACGCCCTGTCTCAGCTCGGCCCTTAGTCACCGTCACCTCCCTCGCTTCCTTCCTTCCTCCCCTGGCCTTAGGAGACATGAAATCATCCTGCTCACTCCCCAGGAGCCGGGTGCGCCTCGCTCACGCCAGGATCGCCGCCCCTGCGCCGGCCTGGCACGTGGTGGGCGCCCCGCACATGGTCCTCCGAGAGGAGGCGGGAGGGGGCAGATGCACCGGGACCGATTAGATGGGTTCAGCGGGCGGTCCACTACACCGCCGGCTTTTAAGATCTCCCCAGGCCCCTTTCAAGTGCAGCCGGAGATGACAGTCATTTGCATACATTTGGTAAAGAATTTGGATTTTTCTCTGAAGGTGGGGTCACCCATCAGCGTCAGGAGCCGCCCCTCCGCAGGCCCTGCAGGGCGGACCCAGGGCAGGGCGGGGTGGGGTGGCGGGGTGGGGCCTCCCCGGGGGCGGGACCTCGCCTGGGCGGGGCCTTGCCGGGGGCGGGGCCGTCCGGCTCACCTGGCGCAGCCCTCGCTGAGGGCGTCCGCGTGGGGCGTGCGCTCGGGGCCGCGTCCTGCCCAGCACGGGGCTTGTCGCCATCTAGCGCCCGCTGGAGGCTCTGCAACTGCCACATGCTGAGCTGCCGGCGCTGGCCTGGGGTCACCGCCGCCGCGTTCTCTGGGCCCAGGGAGGCGATCTGCTCCGCCGACAGCTCCTGCAGCGGTGAAAGGGGTCAGCACCCTCAGGGGCGCCCCTCCGCGGGCTCCCCAAACCTCGGCCAGCCGCCCTGGGGCCGCACTCATGTACCATGTGTGCTCCTCTTAAGGGTCTCCCTTAAATTCAGATCACTCCTTCGCTACCAAAATCAATTTGCTTTTCAAACGGAAATTTCCAAAAATGGAAAACCAGACTCACTTGCCATAACCGATCATTAAAAATAAGCCAAAAAAAAAAATAAATAAAAACAGCATTGCAGAATTCTAGATAGATTTGCAAGCCAACAATGTCTGAACCCGAGACCTTAAAAAAAGAGGGGACTTAAAAAGTGTTACAGAGGTGTTAAGGACATCTTAGCTTCCGGCTGAGGCTTCCTCCTTGGAATAATTGGTATCCAAGGAGAGTTGAAAAGGAGGCATAATAGAAAGAAAGAAATTAAGGAAGGAAGCAAGCTATGACTTGCTCTCTGTGACTTAATGTCATTAAAGGCCGTGCAAGGTCCCTCCCCAAAGCTTCCCGTCCCCCATCGGAGGACCACTGATGTGGAGGGGGAAACACCGAAGGCTGCAGACCCGAATCTGCGGAAGGCCCAGCTCTGCCACATACGAGCTGCGTGGCCTTGGGCAGGTCACAGCCCCTCTGGGCTTGGAGGCTAGTCGTGGGCGGCTGTGCAGACTCTGACGCGAACGCGGTGGGGCCGAGGCCTGTGCGGGGCAGAGGAGGGAGAACGCGGGGTTTACCAACGCCGTCTGCGTGGACGCCGGAAATGGGCAACGCCGCCATGGGCACTTTGAGGACCCTGGACAAGAGGTTTTCTGAAGTCACTCCAGCTCAGGGGACTTAGTGACTGGTCCCACTGGGTCTGGAATGCCAAGGGGCCGCAGGATCTGCATTTGCGGAGAGGGTCTATCGTCATCCTGCTTGTTTTCTAAGAACCCCAAAGACTCTAATCAAAGGAGTCATGCTCCTTCATCCCTATCCTCATCCCTCACCCTCATTTTTCTGTCCAGGGAGATGCTTTCGTGGGACCCATCCTTCCTTGCTCAGAACGCTTCCCTGCCCCCCACCTCCAGGACACAGCTCAGGCTCCTGAATGTGCCAAGGGGCCTTCAAGCTCTTAGCTGTGCCCACTTCTCCAGCCACCACTCACAATGACAGCCCCCAGGAGGCAGCAGCTCTGCCATGCTCTTCCTTCTGCCTGGAACACTGTTCTTCCCTACCTGTCCTGCTAATCTGTGCTGTGAGGTTCACCTCCTTCCTGTCACCACACACACACACACACACACACACACACACAGAGAGAGAGAGAGAGAGAGAGAGAGAGAGAGAGCGCGCGTAGGTGCTCTCCTGGCTTACAGCTTACATCCACCATTAACAGAGTCTGTATTATAAAAATTATCTATTTTTCCAATGTTGCTGACTCGCCACCCACAGGCCAGATTGAATCTCCAGGCCTGCTACACTGTTTTAAAAAACAAATTCAAAGTGGTTGCCAACATTTAATTATCAGGAGATTTCACAGGGAAAATGGAGATGCCTGACTTCTTCAAAGAAAGGAAAGAAAGAGAAAAGGGGGAATAAAAAAGAAGACCCATTAACCCTGGGCCCACATCGTCACACGGCATTAATGTGCCAGAGCTGAGAAGCGGGGCCCGCATCCCAGCCCACTGAAGGCGCCGTGCCCCTCCTACCCCCGGAGCCCCTCCTCCCCCGGTGCCCCCAGCCTGCAGCCTACCACGGTGTAGGAGGTCCGCTAGAATTTATGCAATGGATAACTACCTGAGCAAGGAAGCAGCCACCAACTGCACTCCACATAAGACCAGAAGAAAGTGTTGAGCGACAGGTCAGCATCTAGGACTCCAGAGGGTCGGTCAGCTCACTGGCCCTGACTGTTTATTCCTCCCAAACAGCTGTTGCTCCTTCTCCGTGCGGGGAGCTGTCCAGGGTGCTGATGAGGATCAGTGTTTGCTCCCTGTCTTGATGCCCCATCGTGGGGGTTTGTCTAGCCTCAATTGTGTGTCTTGTCCAGCTGCGGTGGACAAAATGTGTCCCTAACTTACCCAACACGCAAGACCACCAGGGTCACTCTCCATCAGAGCGGACCGTCCCCATCAAATGCTCTGCAGAGCTTGCACGTAGACAGGAAGCGAGGACCTCTCCCTGGGCACCCCGCCCCCCTAACTTCAGGTGGTCTGACCCCAACCTCTCACTTTCCCCGTAGCAGTTCCTCACCTGCCCGAGTGTGGCTTTCTTAATACTTTTCTTTAAGTCAATGCAAATGTTCTTACTATTATATATTTTAGAAGGCAATGTTATCCAGGTTCACAATCCCTCGTTGGCAAGTCTGAAGCCCCCCAAAAGTCTGAAGATCAAAAGGTTTTTATAAAGTTTAAGATGAACATATTTACCAGCAAAACCTGACCCGAATTGATTTGAGGCCATTTACAGTCTCTAGTTTAATTAGTATGACTTGTCACCGATTTCTTCACAGGAATATTAATGTCTACGCTTACAGGGTGCTTCTCCAGACACTGCTGAAGGTGTTAAGTCACATGCTGTAAATCCACAGTGTGATTTTTCTAAAACCCAGAAACTTCTGAATTCTGAAATACGTCTATCCCAAGGGTTTGAGATAAGGGAATATGAACCTGTCATAACACTATATATAGAAAACCAGTGCCACATGCTATGAAGAGAAGGCAACCATAAATATTAATACAATTAAATTTTTTAAGGAAAAAAGACTTTTAAAAAAACCCTAAAATTATCTTGCGACACATCCATCGTTGGTGTACAGCTTACTTCTGTCCCTGTCAGCAGAAGTCTGGCTCAAGCCTTGAGAATCCAAGGCCTGCCACCTGCTCCCCTCCTGACCCCCCATGACATCAAATGGGGTCAAGCTCCCATTCTGTGAGGAACCGAAAACCTACTTTGAATATCTCGTCCGGAAGGCATCTGATGGCCAATGGCTGGAAATACGGCATCAAATCTTTGTCGAGCATTCGAAGCTCTTCCTTAGTTAATCCGGCTGGGGACAAAAAGGAATCAGGAGGGTTTAGTTCAAGCCAGAGAGGCTCTCCTTGTTGTATTAATGGTGCCGCATGTGCGAGCGGAGCACGCATCGCTCCTTATGAAAGGCCCCGAAAATCACCCTGGGAATCAAGTTCTGTAATCAGCTCAGAAAAAAAAAAGTGTGGGTCACGGTAGCCCTGATCGGTCTCCTACGGTGAAACATGCGTTTTCAGATGGCGTGCAAACCTGTTTGGGAGCCCATGTTCCAAACCACTTCAGTGTGTACGAAAGCGCCAGGAGGCCTCGTCCAAAAAGCAGGTTGGCGGGCCGCACCGTCTGCAACTCCACAGCTGAAATCGAGCTTCTGCTGGAACCCTCTCGATGCTCGCTACACATGGCCAAGGGTTCTTTTACTTACTTTTCTTTCCCCAGGGTTAAGGTTGGAAAGGCATACCCCAGATGCCTCTTACCTGCGACGGTTCCGAGCTCCTGCAAGACAGAGCTGGACCACTCAGTGGGATTCCCAAACACAGCCTCTGCCTTCTTCTTAAACTCGGCTAAGACGTGGGTGCTACAGACCAGGCTCCCAATTCTGGCCACCACCGCCCTAGGCAAGAGGGAAGGATATAGTGTGATCCTGGAAGACTCACCAGCCAAAAAAGGGGTGTGCAAGGCGGGTACACTCGGCATCGACGCAGGGCCCAGTGAACCCCACTCCCCCCGTCAGCCCAGAAAGGCAGCCTACCATCCAGAAGAGGAGAGTATCTTGCTGAATGAACGACCCATCGGTCAACCCTTTGCCATTGTGCACACTAGTGTTTGGGTTACCTGAATTCTGCGACCTTTATAAGTGCGATTTCAGTGGCGTTCATGGCACACAGGGTTGCTCCAAGTCCTACTAAGTGGAAGCTCTTCAGATCCTGGATGCAGGAGCCCGAATCCTCCAGGAATCCTTGCAGGATGGACTTAGCCTATAAGAATGAGGAAGAGTCGGAGGTGAACTCTCCAGGCAAGACCCCGAGGCCTGAGGGGATAACATGCTGCAGCCTCCTGTCTGACGCCCCACCCCACTCGTCCGGATGCACCAAACCATCTGCATCCGGGCTGACCTCCCACAGGTGCCACTCCCGCTGAGTCTGTGTCCTGGCCTGTGGAGGTGTCTCTGGACAGTGACACTCTTGCAGATTCACCAACACTGAAGGAGCTGTGTCCTGTGTCTGTGTCTCCTGCTTATTTCCTTCAGTCACTCGTGAACTTCTGACAGGTTGGGCATTTACGTCCTTCTGCACCAGGATCCAAACTTTTCCAACATCCATTGCCACAACTTCCTGGCAAAATCTAGCAATTTTCTGCCTTAATGCCTTTGCTCAAATCAGTCCTTGCATCTGATCTGAAATGCCCTTCCTTCAGTCCAACTGCTAAAACCCAACCGTGCTGTTATTTGAGGGGTTCAAGTGCAATGTCCTTCTTCAGGAAGTCTTCCCTACCTCAGCCAGAAGGAATTTTTCTTTCTCTGAGGTCCTACAGACAGGTTGGCGCCTCTCTCTTCAGTTCCGGAGGGCAGTACATCAAAGGCTCTGGTGCTGAAAACCACGCAGGACCTCCTCAGTGAACTTAGGTTTGAGAGGGCTGATGTGGGGGGCCCCCTGAAATGCTCATACTGTGGCCACCACTGTCCATGACTCTCCTGGACAGCATTCCAATTTCCAGGCATGAGTCTATGGCCCGGTCCTGACATGTCATCTCTTAGCCTGGCTGCAGTGATCGCTCTAGATTGGGCATGTGATCCAGTCACAACGCATCAGAACTATGGCTGGAACAATTCCCCTGGACTGGATCTGGGAAGGATAAACACCTGTAGGTGCCAGAACTCGCCACGTGGAAAGAGCCTCTCTCTGAACGAAGCCAATCCAAAGGACAGCGGAGCCAAAAAATGGGGAGACAGATTCCTGATAATAGTGTGGAAGCCCCTGGATCCAGCCATCCTTGAACTCCACATTTGAGCTTTTCCATTATGGCAGTCGATCAATTCCTTTTCTTGCTCAGGCCACTTTGACTTGGGTTTTCTGCCACTTGTAACTAAGTGAACCCTGATATATTCGGCCTACTTATGTCAGACCTGAGGAGGGATCCAAGTCAATCCTCTGGAGATCAGCTGTATAATAATGTCTGGATGTCTCAGTGCTCATGGGGACAGGTGCAGGAGATTACAAGAGGACAAGCACTCACAAGGCAAAGACAGGGAACAGACATCCAGGAACAAACACCTGAATGGGAGCGAGGGTGACAGGGACACAGCGAATGTCCCATCTTCCTTTAAAAGCAGTCCCTCCGCATCACACAATAAGGATCATCGCGGTGTTTGGCAAAGACTCTGAAATGCTGCAATGGCGCCCACTTTTCACATGGCTGTCGCCTCCCCATCCCTCAGGTCTGTCTAAACGCCGCCTCCTCAGGCAAGACTGCCCGGATTCCCCTTTCTCAAGCAGTCTCCCTCCCCATGATTTCCACCAGCACCTTGTCCATTTTCTGCAATTTTTTTCACCTCGATCGCTCGCTTTTTGGTCTGTATCCCCAAAGACACACACCGTATACAGTTAGTTCACTATTATATCCCCAGCGCCTGGCATAATGCCTGGCACATGACAGAGAGTCAATAAGTACTTTATGAATGAATGAATGAATGAATGAATGAACAGCTGAGTGACTGATCTATAGAAGTTGTAGGCAATATACATTCCTTTGACATGGCATCCAATTGTCACCTTCATGTAAGGAACTGGCTTTGGGGAGTTCTCCCATGTTTCTGCAAATCGGACTGGTCGGTGTCTTGGGAAGTCACCTTCAATGATGACAAGGCTCACGGGTTCTACGGGGCAACTTCAGTAAACCACACTCAGACATCGACGTCTTCAATGATGACGATGGTGAGGAATCAGAACGTGCATCCAGAATAACAATAGCTAATAATATTTACTGAGTGTTCGCCGCATGCCGGCACTCTGCGTATACCATCTCATCTAACCCTCGCAACTACCCCGCAAAGTGTTACTATGATCCCTACGTCACGGACGAGGAAACCGAGGCACAGAGCGGTTGAGAAACTATGCCGAGGTTACACAGCTAGTAAACACTGGTTCTAGCCTGTACTCTTAGGTGGTGAAGATGTCGGGGTTCGGAGGAAAGATGGAAATTCAAGTCAGCTTTTGAACTTTTTTCATGAAGCCTTCCCAATCAGCTTCAGCTAGTTGACTTGCAGTGGTACGTGCTTCCCAGCAATCAGGTGTGCCCACTTTAAAACGGAAGCTCAAAACTACAATTCAAGTAAAGTCACGTTGAAGATGCGGTATTAAATCGCCCTTGCCACTAGAACCTGGAAAACGCAAGCTCGGCCTGTCAGGTAATAAGCCAAACTCTACTTACATGAATGGCTGGACCGATGTCTCTGTAATGGTTCCAAGACAATTAATACCAGCACTTTTAGGCAATGTTAACCACTGCAAAATGAAGAGCTGTCGGATTTCAATCTCTGTTCATCCCGCCACCCTCGAAAATAGGTTCTTTTTCCTTAGGCTGGTTTTTAAGCTGAACTATCTGTTAACGTGGTCCCACTATGTCTGGCTATTAATGTGGAAACATGTGCCTAAGGGTCTGATGGGGCCCGAACGCTCAATGACAGATGCAAACGTTGGGTTTTCACACCCTCTCCAAACATACTGGCAAATCCCACTGCCGCCCGTGGGTGTTAAACCTGGTGCGAACGAGAAGAGATACTGTAGCTTCTCATTTGGGTATATTTTTCTGTTTTCTCCTACACTGCGAATATGATGGTTTTAATACCAGACGTGTCATGTGGTGCTCCTCAAACCAATCACAACCAGCTTGAGAGTCACAGAACCCCAGGACTACAGAAAGTCAGAGTGGAAGGGACCTCGGATTACTGCGTCCAACCTTCTCATCTGGCACATGAGGCAGCAATTCAACTACCAGAACGAGAAGGGGGATGGAAGAGGATGGAGAAGACAGTGAAAACGACTCATTTGCATCGAATGCTACGTACCAGGCCACGTTGAGTGTTTTACGTGTCCTAACTCCTCGAGGCCACACAGCCAGGACCTCCGGGGACACGATTCACACTGTAATCTATTTGAATGGGGCCACTCGGAGTTCTGTGACCCTGTCTAACCTCCCTCTCAGCTGAAACACATCCTGGGGAAAACATCTTCTTTAGCCCACGAAGGAGCAGCTGACGCAGCAATCGCCCGCCCACCGTAAACGACGAGAAAGCTTTAATTGGTTCAAATTATGTGGAATAACTGTATTCAGACACTGGATAACAAGGAGCACAGGACTATAATGCTGTAAAGAGGAAAGCAAATCAGTTTCCAGGACATGGAGCAGGGAAGGGGGCCCACACAAGCCCAGGGGTCTGGCCGAGTTGAGGATAGAGAGATCTGAGTTTAGCGAGGTCAGGGCACCTATGATTTGTGGAAAGTGCTGGAGAGGAAGAAACTGCACAGATAGCGAGCTCTAGGCAAAATCTGCAGAGACATTTTCTCGAGTCTGGCTGAGCACTGACCCACACACGCAGCAAGTAAAACTCCACGTAAATACCAGATCGGTAGGTGGCATCAGAAGGTGGGACAATTCCCAGAGCCCGTGTGGATCTGGAAAGAGGTCCCATTCCCATCAGCCAGAGAAGAGAGGTCTTGAAACACACAAACCATCATTAGGTAGCGTCCTCGGGAGAACCACGTCTCAATAAGGGTAATAAATTACCCACAGAGTAAAGGTCACTCCAGACTCGCCCTAATCAAGCTCCAAAGGAAGCTCAAAGGGGTCGACTGATTTAAAGGTAATTTAAATGTATGCCGAAACGAAGGCTTACAACTAAATCGAGTGCTCAGACATAGAAAAGCCACAAGGCCCATCAGCCAGTCAAAATTCCTGGGCTCGCAAATAAGCAAATGCGACTCGTAACTAGGAGAAAAATTAGTCAGTAGAAACAGACTCAGAAATGACAAGGATGATGGGATAGTTAAAAGATCCGGCAGCATCTACCTACCTGGCCCAGGGTCCATTCCGTCTGCTGGCTCAGGGAGGCCACAGTGTCGATGGCGCTGAGCCCCAGCTGCCCCAGCTCACTCTCATTAAAAGCCAGAGCAATACGGCCTAGTGAGAGGATGTGGTGTTCTCTCCAGTGAGAAGGCGTGTCCCAAACCTTCAGATGGGAACAACAACAACAAAAAAAGCCAGATTAGGCCGATCACTACAAACAGTATTTAAAACAGATATAGGGTAAATCTCTTTCATATATAAAGTTCTTTTGCAAATCAATAAGAAAAAGAGGACTACTTTTGCTTTAAAGAAGAGAGACAAAGGGCATAAACAGAAAATCCACAAAAGAATAAATAAATGCATGAGGAAAAGCTCTGTCTCAGCCATAATTAAAGAAATGTATATTAATGACAATCAAAGAATACCACGTTGGCCGATGATAGTGACAGGGACCAAAAAGAATGATTGTTTATAGTGTTGGAAAGATATGGGCTAAAGGACCCCCTCATTTGTTGATGACAAGAATATAAATCAGCACAGGCTCTTTAGAGGGGAATCTGGCTATACATAACAAAAGCTTTTAAAATAGTTGTACTCTCTGACCCAAAAATTCCACCTCTGGGAATTTCACCTAAGTAAATAAGGAGACAAGTACCCAAAGGAATAAATATGTATATGTACCTTGAGAGATTAAAAAAATACAAACAATATAAAAGTCTACTAATTAGCTAAATAAATATTAGCCATAAAATGAAATATTATATAGTTATTTTAAATACGGATTTATATTTCTGATATGGAAAATATGCATTGTATACTGTTGGGTGTGGGCAGAAGTTATTGAAGAGTAGATAAGTATATTATTTTTTGTTCACATATGTGTGAGTATACATGAAAATACATGTACGAAATATATTTTACGCGCATACGCAGAAGCCTGAGAAGCTTCAGGTCAACATACCAAAATATTAAAATGATTATCTCTGGGGAAAAGAGTATGACCGGTTTACTTCTTTATTATTTTATGACGTTTCTACGATAAACTTGGATTACTTAAATATAAACAATAGTGACAAACATAATTTTAAGGAATTTAATGTCTCAACCCACCAGGGTAACTGTACACTCCACAATTACCCTAAGAGCTAAAACAAGCCACTCAAAGCCCCTTTATAAAGATGGCAAACTGCTTCCAGCCCTCTTTTTTATTCCTTTCTGCTACGTTTTCGGACAAATCGCAACCGACCCTGGGAAAACCTGCTGCAAGCAGCAGCTGGGGCCCTCCGGACGGAGAGAGAAAAAAGGCACAACTCCTAGAGACCGTCTCACCGGAATTCTCACAGAATTTGATTTACCCAATGTCTGTTAGATGCCAAGACACAGCCCGCCCCGTTCTCTGCCGGGGCCCTGTAGGAGGACCTGGAAATTTCAACACGAAAACGCAAGTGAGAACTCCTCCAGCAGGGGGCGCTCTGTGCACGGAAGTGCTGGGTTTTTCCTCTGTTCAGTGCTACCTGGCTCAGGTGGGCTTTACCTGCACAGCCTTTTCCTTCAAGGCGGTCAGCTGAGGCCGGCTGAAACCCCTGACGGCCCCCAGAAGCTCCACGTTCCTGATGAAGACGTCCTCCCCCATGCAGAGCAGGGCCTCGGGGGCCCAGCAGGCATTGGCTTCGGCCAACCTGAAGATGTCATCAGAAGAAGGAGCCACGACTCCCTGGCAACCTGAAGAATGGGGAGGAGCAGAGGGAGGAAATCTCAGGGGACTGGAGTCTGTCTCGTTATTGGGATGAGGATTCTCCGCCGCATTTGTCAGCGAGAGCGGGGACTCAGGGCCCAGTTAGAATCCCACTCTGCCAATTCTGCTGATTATCTGTTAACCAATCCGTGGCAAATGCCAGCTTTTCACACGGCCACGTGCACACAGTAGCAGCCTGACAAAGTTACAGCTGGACTGCAAACGGCCTCGAGGGCAGCAAGAGCTGGTAGTGAGAATTCCTGGCTATTTAGCCTCTCTGAGCCTTGGTCCCCTTGTCTATAAAAGGACACAATGATCTCGTAGAATTCTCGTGAGGACTGTGTCATCACGTGGAGCGCCCAGAACAGTGCCAGGTATACAGTAAGCGCTCGATGCCTGTTAGCCTTCTTATCGTTAATGCCGCCTGCCGCCACTGCCCTGTGCATTTGAGTTTGCGACCCAGAGTTAAGGGTTCTAGGATTACGAGGAAGGAACGCCCCTAAGAGTGGGAAGCGGGGGGATGGTATGCCCTCCATAAAAACCACAGGGGAGGGAGGAGGTGGCTGCAGCCTTCACACCCCAGGAGAGAGGGGAAATGTGCCTGCTCCTTGTTCCCTGGTAAAGAGAGAAAACCCGAGGTTCCCAGTCTTGAAAGGGACCCTGGACGCCCCTGGGGTTGACACGCTCACCAGCGCCACCCCTGCCAGAGCATGTCCCGAGCCCTGTGGCCACCCGCTTCTCACTGAATCCCCAGTGCCAACTCACTAGACTCCAAGCAAGAGATGAAACCGGACCAGGTCAAGGGTGCCGTGTGAGGTCCTCAAACGTCGCCATTACAACCCACTCGGAGGGGACGGAAGAACCATCCCCCGCGATGCCTCCCCTCTGCACAATCTGACAGCGGAGTCAGAGGACCCGAACGATGCAGCACGAACTTGGTCTTGGTGTTCAGCAAATGTTTGTTGAAGGAATCAACCCATTCTCGCAGATTAGCCAAAATGAAACCAAGTAGGAATTCTGCTAATCCATTAACTGCTATGAACACGACAGTAATTAATGCCCAGAACCAACCAAAGAAGCCTGTGACTATGCACCGGTGACAGAGTGTCCTCGCTGAGGCTGGGAAGCCTTGCACGCACCCGCGAGCGCGGAGTCAGAGCATCGCAGCGTGACAACGAGACGGTGAGGGCAGGAGGAGCTCGCAGTGGACCCCACCGGCTGTGGGGACAAATCCAAGAGCTGCCACATACTAATGCTGTGACTTTGGCCAAATCTCTTAATCTCTCTAAACCTGTTTCCTTTGTCAAGAAAATAAGAGAAACCATCGTGCCCACCTCACGGGACAGAGGCAAGGATGAGAAAACGCATGGAGAGATAATCACCTACGACAAACGTGAATCAGGTCGTGACACTTCTTTGCTCAATGGCCCCCTGACACTCCTGCCCGGGTAAAAGATGAAGTCCTCACGGTCCCCTTATAAGGCCCCGCATGACTGGCCTTGTGACTCGCTCCACTCCAGCCACAGTGGCCACTCACATAACTTGTCTCCCCCTGAAGCCACACCCGCTTCTGCCTGGAAGACAAACCCTCACATCCACAGGGCCCACTCCCACAATCCCTCGGGTCTTCACTGTCAGCTTTAACCGAAACCTTCCTCTGCAAGTCACACTCCCTGAGCACACCCCCCACCCACCCCTTGCTCTATTTTTCCTTCTTGGCCCTTATCATGGGGCAGACGTGTCTTTTACTTACATGTGTAACTCATGGTCTGGCTACACCCCTGTTTGAAAGCATGCTCTGTGAGGGTGGGGGTTTCCGTCTGTTTTGTTCACATCGTCCGTGCTTAATAATCATTTGTTACAGGAAAGCGAGCAAGCGCTTAGTGTCAACTATTATTGTTACAGTTATTACTGGGTCTCATTAACTTTGTCCCCTCCTGCCTGGCACAAGTCTGCACAATAAACGTGAGAATACCCAACGCTTACGGAGCATCCTGCACACCAGGTGCTGTCATGGTCACGTTTACGGGTTTAAACCCATTAATCCTCGCGATAACCTAATCAGGCGGGGCTTTTATCATCCCCATTTTACAGAGGATGAACACAGAGGTGCGGAGAAGTTGAAGAGTGACCCGAAGTCACACAGCCAGCACGCGGCCTGCCCGGCCCCGGCACTGCCACGCAGAGACGCCCGGCCATTCTGGCCCGCTCGGTCGACTGGTTCGAAATGCCTGATGCCCGTGTCCCCCATTCCGCTGCGAGCCTGGGTAAGGGGTGCAGGGTGTGCTTACGAAGCTGATTCTTCGGCCCGTGGATTTCTGTCGCTCTATTTGCTTTGCTAACATTTCATCCAGTCCCAGGCACACGGAGGTCTCTGGGCGCCAGGGACTCGGTCGAAACACGGCTGCCCCGGCCCGGGCTCGGGTACCCCGGAAACACTCACCGGGGCTGGGGTCAGCGCTGGGCCCCCTTTCACTGCTGTTGCGGACAGATTCAAAGACAGCCCAGAGGAATTCTTTAGGGGGCAAGGTCCCGGCCATCTCGGAAGCTGTTTGCTGAAGGATGTCGGGGAACTGGGTGGCATAGAAAAGACAAAAGAGGAGGAATGAATAACGAGTAAGGCCTGAAACGCAGGTTTAAATCTGGGTGGAGATGGGAGGAGCCTTGACTGCAGCAGGCTTCACCCCCGTCACAGCAGCTTCGCACGCAAATCTGGTCCCCAGCCTGGTCTCTACGAAGAATCATACGAAACGACACTCAGCCTCAATAACGCCCAGCGAATGTTCAATAAAGTAAGTACACGTCACTGACCCACGCTGGCCGTGCTGTTGGAAAGCACGCAGATGGCGGAGGGGGACCGACAGCTCGCAGGTTGCGCACCTCTGCCGGAGCGCAGCTGGAGACGTCTGAGCCCCTCGGGGCAGGCAGGAAGGTTCCAGAAGAACACGCTGGCAGCAGACCCAGTGGAGTATAACCGAAAACACTTTCCCTCCCCTCCAAACTCCTCCTAACGATGGAACACAGAGGTACCTTTGTGGCAACAGAGCTTAATTCATCTCCTGAGAAAAGTGCCAGAAAAGGTCCCATGTCCTTGATCATCTCAGCTGTCCAGTTCTGGGGGTGCCTAAGAAGAGATTACAAGCAATAAGTCGAAACCCCGTGCTGTCGTCCTTGTCCCCCAGCATCCTCTTCTTTCGGAAGCAGACCACCTGTGCACCTGGAGAGTCTGTCAATCACACAGTCCCACTTCCCCAGCCAAGGCGATGGGCATGTGATGCGAGCCGACCAATCAGAGTCAGCCCTAGGAATTTGGATGGAACTACTAGAGAAACAATCTCTTCTTTCTGGCATCTCTCAGTGAAAAGGATACTGCAGGCCATTCCTATCACCAGGGAGAAAGAAAGCCACACCCAGGAACACAGAGCTGAAAGATGGCAGGAACGAATTCTTGATGACATCACGTGAGCTCCTGGATCCAGCCGTGCCTGAAGTCCACCCCTGTAGTTTTCCATTACATTCAATTTCTGAACTCAATAAACTCCCTTTTTTTTAGCCTGAATTGAATTGTTGAATTTCCGTCATTTACTTCACAGCGTTTCCTTCCTGCCCCACCACCCCCCGCCAACAGAACAGCAGCGATATATTTGTTCCTTTAAATTACCATAACAGTCTTCTCTCGCAGCAAGATGAAATTTCCTCTTGAACTTGGCAATACTGACAGCACTAACACAGAACCCACTGACATTCTTATAGAGACCACACGTGCCTCACACCATATTTGGTGACATCTCCAAAGGAAGTCTGCCCAATTAGCAGGGATAAGCCCTGTCTTCAGACCCAGGCAAACCACTCCTGGCCAAAAAACATGCTCATCTCTTTGATTAAAAAAATATTATCCTGCTGGCCTGTGAGCTCCGTGAGGACAGGAATCACACCCATCTTATTGACCTCTGCACCTTTGGTCCTGGTAGACCAGTTGTCACATACTCAGCACTATGTCGGGCACGGTTGTAAGACCTTTTGTGCATTGACTCAGTTAATCATCACCACAGCCCCATGGGGACTATTACTGTGCCCATTCTATAGACATGAAAATAACGTGCAAAAAAAATAAGTAGCTTTCCCCAGGTCACACAGACAGTAGATGGTAGAAACAAAATTTCAACCCGAGGCATCTCAGCTCCGATGTCCATGCTCTTAAACGCTACATAATAGTGCAGTGCCTGAGACACATGAGATTCTCCAGAAATGTCTGTTGTCCAACCACTGACTGACGGCTAGGACCTACTCAACTATCTGACCGAACTTTAGAAAATTCTACACAGGAAAAAAAAAAATAAAGAAAAATAAAACAGTTCTGCCTCGCCCAGGGAGCGCTCACTCAGCCAGAGCTGACAAGTCCTCGACCGTCTGCGACATCGCCATCGTCATTATTACCATTCCATAACAACGATTCCACTGTCACTTCCTTGCCTTGGTGAAGTGCCACCTTTTTAAAACTCGTTCCCTTTCCACGTGCTCAGAAGGACTAGAGCCGACCACATGAGGCTGCACAGCGGCACTACTGTTCCGAGACCCACAGAATAAAAGTCCCATCTAACCTCGTCCGAGGCTGGAGACCATCTCTGCTCTGAGGGCAGGAGGGCCAGGGCTGGGCGCCCCTTCTCCAGCGCACCCCACCCCCACGCCGAGCCCACCCTGTCCTCACCCGCAGTGCTCCAGGAGCCTGAGCCTCACTGCGGCCTTCTGCTCGGGGCTGAGGTCTGGGCAACCTCTGAGGCCGTGCAGGGCGGTGGCCCAGGCTCTGGGGGACACCCCGTGGTGGATGATGGCTGCCGGCAAGTGGCAGAGCAGATTCCGCACGATGTCCACAGTGTACTCGTCAGCGATGGCATCGTTCTGAAACCGACAAGCAGAGCCGATGAGAAGACCCAGCGGGCTCACTATCGTGACCCCTTAAAAACACTTCCCAACCCCAAACCTCGGGAAAGTACTGGGATCTAAATAGCCTGCCCTGCCATGGACTAGCAGAGATGACATGGGGCCTGATTTTATCTCATAGAAGACTAGTCTCACCTCTAGAGAGACCCCCAGGAGTGGTGTGGACAGAGACTTGGCACATGGTGAGCACTTGGTAAATGAGGGCTGTTGTCATCGTCGTTGTCATTGCTCTGACGGTACCCCAGAGCTCGACAACCATTATAATAATAGTACGCCAATAATAAAAACCACACCTCAAAGCTCGTCTGGCCCTCGAACGCCTTCAGAGCGCTTTCTCACAATGACAAGAAGAGCTAACACTTACTGAGCGCTCACTATGTGCCAGGCACTGTTCTAAGCACTTACAGGTCTTGATCCATCATTCATCTGAAAAGTAACTGTAAGAGGTAAGTATTCATAAAAGCCACTTCTTAAAGACAAAGAAATTGCCAGCCAGTGGCAAGGCCAGGATCCACATACAGTCTGCCCTTTGGGCCTTGGCATTAAACAATACATTGCCTACAACACATTGCCTGCATTAAACAATACATTGCTCTTGCACCTGTTTTACAGATGAGGAGCCCGAGGCTCAGGCAGGGGACATGACTCACCCACAGCCGCATAACCAGCCCCGGCAGAGCCATGTCCAGAACTCAGACCGTGAGCAGTGCGCCTTGCAGTCCACAGAGTGGCCACCCCTCCTTCAGGCCCCGAAGGGACAGTTTCCAGACCCAGTATCCAAAGGTATCCCACCTAGCAGCTTCAGAGCCAGCCTGAGACCCACAGGTCACACTTCTGGCCAGCACCGCAGGCTTGAGATCCCAGCCAGATGCCCTGGGAGCTCCGCAGGATGGCCCCAGACACACAGAGGGGAAGGGATACCAGTGAAAATGTCCCCCAGGAAGTTCCCTCACCAGGCACTGCTGCACCTTCCTGAGCACCACATTCTTTTTGTGGGAGTCTAACACCAAGGCGTCCAAGTGACTCTTCCCCAGGCTGATCAGAAGGGGCACACACTGGGAGGCGGGGACGGAAGCCAGGTAGCGCGCCCTAGAGAGAGATGGGGGAAACCAAGGGCAGGAAGACAGTGGCTGCTCCATATCACCCCGAAAGCAGGGTCTGCATGCCCAACAGCCTCTCACGGGAGTGTTCTTTAAATATTCTCCCCAGCGATGTTGGGGCGCCTCTGGGTAGGCAGGCAGCAAACCTCCCACCCATCAAGCTCCTCACCTACAGGAAGGAACCAAACCTCCCATCATGCTCCTCTCCTAAGGCGAGAAACACACTTCCCATCATGCTCCTCTCCTACGGGTGGGAACCAAACTTCCCATCATGCTCCTTTCCTACGAGTGGGAACCAAACCCCATCATGCTCCTCTCCTAAGGCAAGAAACACACTTCCCATCATGCTCCTCTCCTACGGGTGGGAATCAAACTTCCCATCATGCTCCTTTCCTACGGGTGGGAACCAAACCCCATCATGCTCCTCTCCTAACGCAAGAAACACACTTCCCATCGTGCTCCTCTCCTACAATTGGGAAACCAAACCTCCCATCATGCTCCTCTCCTAGGTCAAGAAACACTTCCCATCATGCTCCTCTCTTACAGGTGGGAACCAAACTTTCCATCAAGGTCTTCTCGTATGCCCCAGCAGCACTGATCACAGAATAGAATCTCCATAAACGTATGCTGACTGATGGACTGGTTGAGGAGAGATGAGGAGGAAAGGAAAAGAAAAACTAGAAGAAAGAGACAGAGAGAAAAGAAGAAAAAATAGAAAAGAAAGGCCAGAAGGAGTGAAAAAAGTCTCAGTTAAGACGATGATTTGCGACCCACCAAAGCTCACCTCTAACCCAACAAAATCTTATTCCTTATCATTTCTCTCATTAGGAGAAATTAAGTGTTTCTCCTCAGAAAGGCAATAATGAAGGAAAGGTTGAGAAAGACTGCTTAGACGCATGCAGCCTAACTCGGCGCCACCACCCGACTGTTCCAAAACCAAAGTCGACATGTCCTTCCCCCATGCCACCTCAGACTCCCCTTTCCCTTTATCCCCAGATGTCACTGCTACCTCCTGAACATTACTCGGATCCATTCGTGCCTCTCCATTCCCTGTACCACTGGCTTGTTTATTTATTCATCCATTCATCCACCCATTCAGCAAATATTTACAGACACTGTGCTGGGGACCAGCTACACCCACGAGCAAGACATGAGGGCAGGTCCCTGCTCTCAGGATGTGTCATTCTAATGGGAGAGGGGGAAGAAACACAGAAACCAGTAGGTAAAACAGGTCATTTCAGCTACCGATAAATGTACGGAAGAAAATACAATGGCTCTGTAACGGAGAATGACGGTAGGGACAGCCAGGAGAGCCCCTTCTAAGGCAGTACTGTTTGAGCTGAGACATGGATGAGTGGAAAGAGACAGCCACGCCGAGGTCTAGGTTAGAGAAACAAGCTTCCACCGCACCCCTCCTTCTGGCCGGGATCCCTGCACTCTGTCCTCTCCACGGGCAGAGGTGACAATCTCTCTGAAATGTAAGCCTGAGGGCTGTGCCCAGAATACAGGTGAGACACCTCAGGGTGTCACACAGGCCCTCCCTGATCTGAGCATCCTTTCTCTCTCCCAACTGCTCTGCAGACACACACCACGCATCCCCCCGAGTACCTCGCTTTCCTTACCCACAGCTGGTCCAAACCTCCTTCGTGCCCCTGTTTGGACTCTCTGACCCCATCTCAGTCCTCAAGCTTCAGTTCGGTCTCTTGTCTCCTCCGAGATATTGTGCCCAGCGCCCATGACCCCTTCCCACGGTAACGGCACCTGGCTCTGGATCAAGCTGGGCCTGAAATCCATCCGTGGATCTTCCAAGTACCCGTACCCCAAACTGCCTTTTATCGCCTAAGGCAGCTTGACTTAAGATTCTGTCACTTTCAATAAATATCAGCATGGTATTATAATTGGCTTCATGTTTGTCTATCTACCCCCATCCCCTCCACCACCACCATCCAGAGCGTATTTCGAAAGCAGAGCTGCCCCGCAGCCTGAGCACACACACGGACCACCAAAAATCCCCACAGCTGACAGCAGCCCTGCCTCCCCAGAGCCTGGGCACAGCCGTGAGGCCGGCCCACGTGGGCTTTGCCTCACTGCCAATCACTCGGACTTGTGTTGCTTTGGCTTTGGTTTTAAAATAACAACAAAAGGCAAAAGCATCTCAACTATCTATATGAGGCTCGGAATTTAAATCCTGGTTCTCGAGGGCCTCGCTATTGAAGGCGCTCTCCACTCTGCCCCTTGGGCTCCTCACAGCACCCAGGGGGACAGAATCACCAATCGTCTCGCCGAGCCAGGAAGTGGGGCGCATGCTCACTTACGGGAGTGCAGCCAAGAGGAAGGGCGGCATAGAGGACCTGGAAACTTCCCAGTGTTTCCACGCCAAGCAATTAACCTGAAAGATTAAAGCAGTTCTAGGCACTGGGTTGAATAACAATAAGATGCAAACACAGACTGCGCTTTCTGGTGCCGGGCGCTGTTCCAAGCGCTTTATGTATGTCCACTTATCTAACAGAACGCCCTGGGGGGTAGGTAAGGACACTCCTGCGCCCAGTTTACGGACGAGGAAATTGAGGCCATAGCAAAAGGAACACAAAAATGTAAGTCTGAGAGCGCCCACCACAGCTGTGTTTACAACTGCAAGGAGATGAGATACAACCTAACGTCCCTCAGCAGGGGGCTGGGTAAGGAAATTATGGTACAGCAATACAACGGAATACCACACAATTATTGTGTTTCCATTATGGTAGATTTATGTATATGTTAACATGATTAACCTGGAATGACGTTTTACATGTGTGTTACATAAAGTTAAACAAAATAATACGTATAGTATGAGCTGAAATAAATATGTTTTATATATACCAAAAACCTCTCAAAGTCAAGAGCAAACTTTTCCCTGTAGTTATCTCTAGAGCTGAGATTCTGACCCGGGGCACTGCTGACATTGGGGCCTGGATAACCCTTTGCTGGGGGGCTCTCCGCTGCACTGTGGGATGCTCAGCTGCAGCTCTGGCCTCCACCCACTAGATGCCAGCAGCATCTACCCCAGGTGTGGCAGCTGAGTGCCTGCAGATATGGCCAAATGGTCCCCTGTTGAGAGCCACTGCTTTAGGGGGAATTTTACTTCCTATTTTTTTTTTTCCAATATAATAGTTACGTGCTCTCAGCAAAAATATAAACAAAAAGTCAAATTTTCTAACAAACTGGCATTTGAAGGTTCTGAGGACTGGGGAGCATCTAGGTAAAGAGCTTTGTACGTGAACAGAACACATGGATCTTCCTCTAAGCGGGCGTGATGTCCATCCATCCTCGTTACTGACTTCCCTCCCTTCCCGGGCGAGGCTTTTCCATAGTCCACTAGTTCTCAGCAGGGAACTGATTAGAAACGTAAATTATAGGGCATCGCACTGGACCTACTCTAAGGGGAAGTCGGCGAGCGGGGCTCTGCGGTCTGTGTCCTTTTAATGGTGTAATCGATACACAAAGCACTACGTGCATTTATGTGTACACTCTGATGCATCCAGACACTTGCAAACGCCCTGATGCCGTCACCTCCCTCACGTATCAGACTCGCCCCACACCTCCCAACGTTTCCTTGTGTCCCTTTGTCTTTGCAGTAAGAGCCTCTGAGGTGAGAGCCACCTCTCACATTCTGACGTGCACGAAACCATAGCAACTCCAGGCACTCAGTATTTCAGCAGAGGTCCGGAACTTTCTCATCTGGCAAAACTGAAATCGTACAGCCATCGAATGGCCAACTCCGGCCCTCTAGGGAATGCTGATACAAGCTCGTGTTTGAAACCAGGGACAGAAGGGACAAGCCGAGGGCAGGACAGGGCTGTGTACAGCTCTGCACATGGCTCTAACGCCCCTGAATTTTTTATGTTTCCTGGCTGTCGGGGGAGGATTCCTAGGAAGCTTCATTCAGATCTGAAACGCTCCGAGGCCAGAGCTGGGAAGATGCTGTGTGTCCACCTGCTCGTCCCCAGGGACCCTGAGCAGCTCATAGTTACACTCCAAGTCCAAACGCTGTTCTGCAGGCCCATATTTTACTTGCTGAGAAACTTTGAAAAGTCTGCTCCTGCTTCTCGTCTCCCCAAAGGGTTAAAGAGTTTGTACAACCATTTGGAAAATGAAGCCTTAAATGAAAAAAAAAGGAACCAGAGCCACGTTTCATTCCCAACTGCCCCTGGAAAGGACAGGGGTGTCATGCAAGGAAGTGACTCAGCCGCTGGAGAACCCCATTATGGACACGGAAAGCGGAGCACCTCCCAACTGTCATTTAAGGTCCACGCCCGTCCCACGCCCTCCCTTGCATCGCGGGAAGCATCCCAGCGTGAGTCTCTTTAGCCGCCAGCGGCCACGCAGTCTGCGGACGCAGGAAAGCGCGTGCACCACACCTGGCCAGGTGAGAGCAGCCCGAGGTTGTTCTCAAAAAGCCGGAAATGGGCCAGGAAAGAGTCTGCGCTCATGGCATCGATGTGTGCGCAGGTTACGCCTTTGACCAGCTGCCCGGTGCTGGAAAACAAAACGGGGGGCAGGAGAAGTGGGGTGCGGAGGACAGGAAAGAAGGAGCAAGAGAGGGTGGTGCGCGCTGACCCCGGTGAAGAGGGGACTGTCCCGCTCTCGTCCCGGGACAGAAAGCCCAGAGACAGAAGGCCCAGAGGGCTGGCCGCGGGGGGGCGGGGGATCCCCTACCTCAGGAGCACCTCGGGCCTCCCGGTGGTCCTGGACAGGAGCTCGTACAGGAACAAGGCCTGCGGAGGGACGAGAACCGCGGCCAGTGTGGACGGGGCGCTCACTCACCAGATGAGCACGCGCAGCGCCCAGCAGCGCGCGGCCCTGTGGGGAAGGCACGGCCACCACCCCGCTTTACAGACGGGGCCACGGAGGCCCGCGGCTATGTTACCCGCCCAGGACCACGGGGTGGCGAAGGGACAGAGCTGGGACGTGCCCGGCTGGCGGAGTAATCGCACATCCTGGCTCACACCCCGTCATTCCCTGGGCTCCCGCGGACGAATGCAGAGCCAAGCGCCGGCAGCGAGGCCCGGGGTTTACTTGCTGTGCTTTATGAGGTCGCTGCCCAGCCCCTATTTCCATGCCCACCTGCTAGTGGGCACACGCCTCCGGAAGGGGGCCGCGGAAGGAAGAGAGGGGTGAATAGACCAGGGCGGCCAGTGGAGACAGTCACGTGGTTAGGAGGGTGTGCCCAGTCCCATCCCCTGACTTTGCCAATGGCCAATGAGTTCATCAGTCGTGCCTATTGTCATTTAGCCTCCACAAAAACCCAAAAGGACGGGGTTCTGAGAGCTTCTAATTGGTGACAGTGTGGATTTGGGGGAGTGGTGCCTGGGGAAGGCGTGGACTCTCGGAGCCCCCTCCCCACACCTGCCCTGTGCGCCTCTTCCATCTGCCTGTTTCTGAGTTACAGCCTTTTATAATAGACCCGTAATCTGGGAATCAAAATGCTTCTCCAAGTCCTGTGAGCTGGCTGCTCTCGCAAATTAACCAAAGCCCAGGAGGGGGCCACTGGAGCGCCCAATCTGTAGCCAGTCGGTCAGAAGCACAGGTGACAACTTGGACTTGTGACTGGCATCTGGAGTGGGGACTGCCTTGTAGGACTGAGCCCTCAACCTTTGGGCTCAGATGCTGTCACCGGGTGGACAGGGTCAGAATCGAGTTGAACCGCAGGACCCCCAGCAGGTGGTGGAGAATCGCTGGGTGCCGTGAGGAAAGCCCACACACACCTCGGAACTGGCGTCAGAACCCTTAGTGGCCACACCTGAGCCCTCCGGAGCTCCTTTCCCCTGACGACAGTCTCGTTGAATCGGGGTTCCCTCCGCAGATCGAAGAGAGACACCTCCTTAAAGAAAGCTCCTTGGATTTCCGCAATGCCCGAGGCAGAATCTCCTGCTTCCATGATCTGCCGGACATGAGAAGAAACACGTTAACGGCCGTGGAGAAGGTGCACTGAACTTTGCACGAGAGCCAGCCGCTCTGTCACGTGCGTCTCGGGCAGTAAAATCCATCAAACCTGTTCGGCAACCCAGTGAGGTGGGACCATCGTCATCCCCACTTTACAGGGAAGAAAACGGAGGCTTCGCGAGTAATAACTGGTTGATAGATGAGATTGGAGCCCACGTCTGTCTTATTCCAAACCCAGGCTCTTTATTGATAACTATATGTGCTCTTTCTGTCCATGAGGTGCTGGCGTTTGGGGCCAGAACCCTTGGGTTGGGCTTCTTAACAGATTTTGCAATTGGACAAAGCAGATCGCACAGACTAGGACGCCCCCAGGACCCACTGCCGAGAGAGAGGGGAGCACGGCGTGACTTTAGATGACAGAAGGGCCCTTCGCAAGCACCCTGGGAACATCAGCATTCGTTTTTAGATCTGAAAAACTTTTAAACTATTATTATCTCAAGAAACCTAAGTTACGAGAAGCTGTCCAGATTCGACTGGCCGAGGACAGCACTGGGGTCTGGGAGAAAACACAGCGTGACTCAGGGGTCTCTTTCCAGAAAGGAGGGAAGGCAGGCATCGGGAGAGGGCGCTGTCCAATCCCTCGTCGAAGGCCGAACGAACCCTAGCCTTGAACCTGTGTCCCAAAGCCACAGCCCACTCACGAAGCCCGAAGCCACACGCCGTGAGCCATGTGGGCGAGCCCTGGGTGTCTGCCCTCACCTTGCTGAGGACTCCTTGCTGCTGGACAGGCGACAGGCTGCACCCGTGCGGGGAGACAGCACTTCTCAGGACTTGCACGAGGCCCCTCTGCTCCATGTCGTGGAAAGCCTGGGCGCCAACCCCGGCCAGCAGCACACCCATCTGGCTGACGTTGGAGGACGGCCCCTGGGCAAGGACCGCCACGCCGTGAGGCTCTGCACTGGCCGGTCCCCTCACGGGGAGTGGGGGCATCTAGCGGGCCCCACAGTGTGCCAGGGACAGGGACGGGAGCCAGGGGCACCACCGTGGGCAACACGCGGGCTGTCCTCCCAGACCGTCCTGCCTTCTAACGGGAAAGAAGGTTAAACATCAAAACACGACACGGGCGCTGACTGCCTTGCTGCCCGGAGGCCACAGCTGTGAGGCCACAGCGCAAATGTCCACACAGTGACCCCTGCACCACAGCTGACCAGGTGGCGGGCTCTCCCTGAGTTTAACCTGAACTAGCTGACATTGAAAAACTGGGGGAATTCCCATAAACATCCAGATTTGAATCTTTGTGTGTGGGTTTTTTTTTTTAATCTAAACATCAGGTGATAACGGGCCCGCATTGACAGCAGTGGGCAAGAACCAACCAGCAGCGGCCTCTCAGGCGGGTGGGGGGCCCTCGGCTGACCCAGCCCCAGCCCCAGCCCCTCACAGTGCTTGAGGCAGCCGGCGGGCAGGCATCTAAAGTGGCAAAGCCCACACCCGTCCATCTCCATGTAGAAACCGTGAGTTGAAATAAATAAGTTTCAGTATGTGAGTCTCATACATGATGACAGATGTGACTATAGCTGGTCACCCCCCCACACACACACACCGGAGTGAAGATGCCGGGTCGGCGGGGGGGGGGTCCCACATATTCAGGAGCGCTCCTTGGCTTTACAAAAAGGCAGCTGGCGGTTTCCTTTGGTTTCCTCTGTAGAGTGGACAGCCTCTCACTGTCCCCAAGGAGGGAGACCTCTCAGGCTTGGCTTCTTAGTCAAAGCTGCCTCGCCCTTCCATAGGAAAAGCTGGATACCAGGAAAGAGATGAGCCACCCTGTCCAGGGCTGGCAGGGAACAAGTCAGTCCCTCTCAGCTCCCCAAAACCAAATTCAGGGAGAAATGCTCAGGGAGATCCATGTGGCCCCCAGTCGAAACAGGGAAGGGCTGCCACACCTTCAAACTAAAGTCCACACAAGGCTGGAAGGGACAAGTTAATGCGCTGGCCTTGGCCTTGAGTCACAGAGCGAGAATGGGTGGGCAGTGGGCATGGCGCCACGGTGGAGGAAGTTAACGTGGGATTAAGCAAGCAGGCTCTGAAGCCACGTGTCCCGGCTCCCGTCCCACCTGTGCCCCTGCTACGTGGCCTCAGCGGTTCCCGTACATGCTCTATGCCTCACACCAACGACCTGGAAGATGAAGCTTCCAACACCACTGACCTCACAGGGTCGTCGGGAAAATGAAATGACTAACTCACTTAGAACACAGCCAGGCACACGGCAAGTGCTTTATACATGTTCGTGACTGTCATCACACCGGTACCCCAGGAGCCAGTCTGCTTTCTAGGAAGTGGCTACGAGTATGATCTAAAAGAGTGAGACCCAAAATGTCCAGGGCTCAGATCTCTGGAGCCTTTTCTCCTGGGACGGAACCCACACTTTCCTCACAGCCACGGGGCTCACACTCCGGAAAACGGTTGTCCCTCCCTCTTTCTGTGTCTTGACTGTATAATCCCTGCAGCAATCCTGTGAGCATCTCTCACGTCTCACCACCTTACGAACAGGGAAACTGAGGCAAAGAGAAATTAAACCAATTGTCTGAGGCAGCAAACGTCCAGCTAGTAAATGGCAGAGGAAGTATTTGAACCAATGGCCCTCCGCACAGGCATCTGACGTGAAGCCCTCCACGTCTTCTTACTGACTGGCTGCCCTGCTCTGTGCGTCTAACTGGCCCTTGGGTCTCTGGGCATTAGGAAAAAAAAAAAAAAAAGAGTTCAAAGCTCCAACTGACCTCATGGGCCAAGTATTTGGCAGACAAGAGGACGACCTGGCTCTTGGCCCAGCCCGAGACCTGGTTGAGGGTAGAGATGGCGCCGTGCACTGCCTCGGGAGAGAGAGAGTCCAGCTGGCTGTGGGTCAGGCCGACGATCGCATCTGACAAAGAGCCCAGGGTCTCATTGAGGGTCTGGTTCTCCGTGGCGATGTCCAGAAGCTCAGCTTTGAGCTACGAGGGGAGCAAGCTGGAATGAGGGTGGAGAGCAAGCAGGACGAGGTCCCCTTTTATTACATCCTGGGCTGTCAGGGCTCCACAGCACCCTCCTCTCCGCAGGTCGAAGGGAGAGGGACTCCAGCCAGTGGGAGGGGCGCTGCTGCCACACCCAGACAATGTCACCCTAGAGAATACCACTCCTCTGCCCTTGACTTTACTATGCCGCAAATTAACTGTGTGCTTCATTTAAATATTAATTAGCTATTAAATCAAGCCTAAAGCCTGGCAGAGGAAGTTCGTTCCCTTCGCCCACAGCTCCGGCACGTTCTGGGTGCACCTGTTTTCTTTTTTTGACCTTGAATCCTACATC